ATCTGTGCGCGGAACTGGTCAATTTGCCGGGCTTGGTCGAGGCTTAACACGAGGAAGTCGTCGCCGAGATCGCCCGCCGGAATTGTATCAACGGGATCCATGTTGCGCCGAGCCATGGCTGAGAGGGAGCGAGGAAGCTGATGATGATGATGGTAGTGGGCGGTGCACAGCAACTGCCCACTTGTGTGCGGAGGATCGCCAGGTGTAGGGTACGAAGAGTTTATGCCTGAGGCACCGATAGCAAAAGCGAATCCTGGCGGAGAAGCGGGCCTGAGGAATACCCACATTAACAGGTGGAATTCCACCTGTTCAAGTGGATGTCATAAATTGATTCTTATTGGCTCAATAACTGGCCGCGTGCGCCTCCCCCGTTTCTAGCTATCAAGAAAGCCACTTCCGGTTTTTCAGGTTTTTTGGGTCTGCCATTTCCTGCTCATGGGTCCCTGGGTCACCCGTTTGGTTGATGGTGGGGTGCGAAAGGCGAATTTTGGCTGCTGAAAGGTGGGGTAATACTTCCCTTTTTAGCCTCGACTTTTCAAGCGGACATACGGTTACTGGTAAATGCACGGACGATCGGATGAGCCCGTGCGATCGCTGGGTCCAACTGAGCGGCGGTTTAATGCACGGCGTACAGCAGGACTCGGTGTACGCCGCTCTTCCGGGGGGCTCCGGTCTCGGGGCTGGAAAGATCGACATCCTTGCTCAAGTGCAGGTGAACAAAGTCAAGAGTGGAGACTTATTAGCGGCATTTAAGAATCCCGAACAAATCAGGCGCTGGAAGGAGATTATGGAAGGCTGTCCGGCTGTCTTGCAGACTGCCTGTCGGGAAGCGCTCCACCGTTCGGTTCGACACGACGGATCAGCTGCGAAACAGATTCGCACAGCTATGGCGTGACAAATACGTCGACCAAACCTGGCTCGCCTTGACGGATGACGACGCTGCGACATTCCAAATCTCCATCAACGACGCCCACTGCTTTGCAATCCAGGGCCAGTTGGGTGAAGTCACGACCATTATGGGCAAGGCTCTCCCGTCTCTGTCAACTGAAGCAATTGACCTGGAGAGGAACATGCTCAGACTCATACGCTGCCTCGAGCACTTGGCCAGATACAAGATGACCAAGGGCGTGATCGGCGGCACCGGTCAGGGAGCTCCTGATCAGGGAGCTCCTGATCAGGAAAAGACTGCAGGGGCAGTCAAAGTACCAGTGGGGGGGGCCATCCGGGGAAATTCGTACGAATATGCTAACCGCACCGTAAAACTGGAACTGTGAAAATCGAGTTTTGCGCGCACCGGCGACCTTTTTAGCGACCTCCCCGGGCTTCCTACGGCCGGGGAGAATTTTGGCAAGAAAGTGCGGTTTGAAGGTTTTTTGCTTGGCAACTAATCCGTTTATGGCTGAAATCTGGGTCCCTGTCGATGAGATACATTGGTTTGGCCCCTGCGTTTTTGCACAATCTTTCCTGGCCAGGGAGGACGGCTGTGCACCGATTTGGGGGCCCAAACGGGTAAGGCGCGTTGAGATAAAATAAAAATCCCCTGTTTTTGGCGTTTTCCCTGATCAGGAGCTCCCTGACCGGCGCCGCCGATCACGCCCTTGGGGGATAGTGCGTCGCTCGAAGGAGTTTTGCTCCTCCTTGCCCTCCCCGTTGCCCGCGCTCTCTTGCACGCATGGTCGACGTCCTGGCTCGTATCGCCTCGTGGTCGCGGCCGCTTGACCCCTGGCTCTCGGCTCCGGCTGTCCTGCGCCGCTAGTGGGCCGGAATGCCCCACCGGTAGGCTCGACCTCGTGGGCGACGGCGATGGAGGAGAGGGTGTGTTGGTGACGGCACTGGCCTTACGTACGAGCGTGCGGGAGGAGGTGCTGGAAGAAACAGGGCTGGCCACGGAACGAGGTTTCCGCAAGTCGCTAGCGTCAGCGGCCCGGTGTATATCTGTGCTCGTGTGGGAACAAGGAAGCTGTTAGAAGCGCGACCGGACAAAAGATAAACGCATGTATGACCGGGCTCTCTTGGTGTCAAAAACGAACCTTGGCTTGAGCCCACCCGATTCCTGGCTGCTTCGTCGACGAACCGTTGGAGGCAGCAGTAGAAATGGTTGTTGAGTGAATCATGGTCCTCGGCTGTCATGGGCGTCGGTTGCAAGTCGTCCAGTCTGGCCTTGCTCCCCCGCAGTGTCTGCCAGTTTTGGTACAGCCAGAGGTTTTGTAAGGGGAACAAGTGCGGGTGAATGTTGAACGCCCGTCTGCAATCGTCGCCCAATTCGATGACCAGTAGCCTTGTCATTTTGTTACGTTTCTTTGCCCAAGGGGAGTCGCAATCTTGTTTGCTGCGGTATGCCTGGCGACGAAAGGCGGCGGGCTGTGTAATCGGTTGGGATCCGAATCGGGTGGGTACGGGCCCATTAAAGGCACGGGCCGTATTTCGATGCCCAGCCACCCCGCGCATGCCACGCGCCACAGTCTGCATAGACCTATGCCATCCTTGGCAGGCGAAAGTGGGTCGCAAGCCTTATCGTGACCACCGGGACATGGGCCTTCGTTGTTTTTAACCTGGAAGCGCGCCGCTTACGGTTGGCCTGGAAAGCCGCGGATGTTACGGACCGTCGCGCCCTCGTTTCCACGCGCCGGAACTCCCCCGGCTAGATACGGAGAGTTAACGGCGACCATTACGGATCGCGACACTGGAGCACTCTAATGGTTCACCGCATTATCGCCCAATCCTTTCCGTCCATATTTTACCTTCGCCGACCATTCTCGCGACAATCCGTGCACTGGGCCTGGATTGTTGGCTGTATGGGTAGGTTCCTAAACAGGGCGAAATCACGCAAGTCCCTCAACCACATTCCTCGCCGGGCAACTAAACATACCCTCCAGCTTTCCTCCCAGACCGCTGGACCTTGTCCAGGTCCACCTGTATCTCGACATGGTCCCGAGGTTAAACACTAGCCCCACTTTGCGG